TTCGTGCGCGCTGCTCTCAAGTTCTCTAGGAGACCTGACGCCGACCCAGTGCTCACCCCAGCAGCCAGGCCGTCAAGCCAACTAAGCTGGAAGCTCAAGTTGCGCCAATCGCTTGTCGGCAGGTCGGGCTCATCGTTTTGGTCTGCGTGGAACTTATCGGCAGCCATGGATCAGGACCACTCACTCTGCTTGCAGAAATATCAGTAGGCGCGCAGCAGCAGGGTATCCACAGCCGGGATCTCGTTTTCACGTGTCGGTGGCTTGAAGAATTCAACATGGTTGATTTTTGTTGAGACCAGCGGAAGCAGCCGCATCTGCACTTCCCTCGGAGATATGTGCCTGTTTGCCAATCGCTACGCATGTCCATGCACATGGCTGGCAAATTCGTGAGGCGTTGGGCCGCGGTCTTCTGCTGCTGAAAGCTGCGACAAGGACCGTCGCGCTGTTTTGCGTCCACCATGCCTTGGTGCCTCGGGCAGATGGACGGCTGCGTCTTTGCAAGGAGGTTGTAGCAGATCTTTCATTACCCGAACAGTGGGAGACAAGGCAAAGCTTGTCATGCCTTGCTCAGAATTTAAAAATTTAAGCAGAAGTTACACATCCTGCAAGGCTGGCAAATACCATGACTCTTCGCACTGTGCAGAACACAATGATTTTTGGCAGCAGATGCAAGCCCTACACTGCATGCACTCCGCACCGAGGAAGGGCTTTCAGTGCCATATGTTCTGGCATGCAAGACAGACTGATTCAAGCAGATTCCGAGGAAGCACGCCCACCAGCTCTTGCAGCTTCTAACGCACAGATATGGCTCTTGCAGCCCCGTCCACATTTCCTGCTGGGAGGCCTGGCTTTCTGGCTTCGTGCAGGGTCCAAGTCTAACAGTGCTCTGGAGGGCTCACTGGAGAAAGTGGCGGCTTCTACTAGCCGGTCCAAAGCAGGGAGCTTGCTTTGACTTCATCGTCTCGTCCAGCCTTGAACTCAGTTCCCGTGCACCCTTCACCCCAGGCGACCGTGGCAAAGCTCCATTTGCGTCAGCGCGAGCTGACCCCGCTCCACATCGCTGCCGTTGCCTAAGAGTGGCTTGACTTTCTGCAAGCGTTGTGAGGTTGTTCTATGCCAAGGCTCTCTGTGGTCATGCCGATGTTGTGGACTTCCTTCTGGATCTTGATGCAGATCCAAACCTTGCAGGCCAACCATTTCCTTTTGCAACGGACTTGCTCCGGCACGCATCATCTAAGCTCACAAGCACTCCATGTCTTCTGTTTTCATGGCACTGACAGACAGCCGGACAGGTGTTTACAACTACCGCGCGCTACGTGCCCAGCTTGAGGCCAATTTGAGTCAATCTGACCTGCGCTCTCTGAAGGTTGCACATTGCCGCATCTTCCAGCCCTGCGATTGTGCAGCTTCTGCTTTGGGCTTGAATTGTTGGAAATGTTTGATTTTCCTGTTTCTTTGGAGTCCGTGGCTTGCCAAGGTTGGATGCAGCTGCAAGCCCCGCAGCCCTGACAGTTCTTCTGCTGTAGCAGTGGTATCAATGTGGGTACAAATAGCCATAATTAGCCACGTTCATTCCAGCGATTTAATTCAGTCAAGTCCTTCAACGCTTTGCAGAAGGCGCAACTCAATCCAAGGATGAGGCGGACACCCCGCTTCACTTGGCTTGCGGCTACCAACAGCTGCCGACCATAGAGCTGCTTCTGGAGGCATGCTAAAAGATGTGTTCAGCAGCTCCTTTCAAATCCCCCATCAAATGCTGTACTGTTCTCAAGGCCACTGCTGACCCATCAGCTTCCAACAATTTCGGAGCCCAATTCTGAGGGAGGGCGTGCTCCGGTTCGATGTGCAACGGTGAAGATAGTTCCCTCATTCTTGAAAGGTCACGCCTCTTCACAGTGCAGCAGCAACAGCTGCGCTGGAAGAGTGCGACGTCTGCGAGGCTTGGACTTCCTCAGCAAACGGATGGGACAGTATAAAGGTCACGAAAATCGGTCAACCTCCAGCAAGGCGTCAACTATTCTATGTGAGGCAAGAGCAGTTCTTTTGCTGTGCAGCAGCGGGGCGGACATCAATGCGCGCGATCGGCCGTTGCCTGAGATGGCAGACAGCATCTGTGCCTGCATCTGAACTGCAAGGGGGCAGGATGCCCTTCTTCAGCTTTGCAGGCGTATTTGCTAGCTCTTGTATGCAAGCGGACTCCAAAAGAGTTGGCACCGAGGCAGGGCAAGACCCCTGCAGCCGTAGCTCGCATGGCTGGGGGTGCGCACAGCCTCGTGACCTTCCTGCAGGCGCTCTGTGGGTTGTAGTCGTAGATTCCAGAAAGGGGGCCCCAACAGAGACCTCAACAAACAGTAGTTGCGGTCCTTATGATCAGGCCAGGAGATTTGTTGTCTTAGTCTCCAGTCTTGAGCTCTCTTGAGCCCTTGAGCCCCTCCAGGCTGAGGCTGGATCGGCGCAACTTGGCTTCCTACTTCCCGGCTCCCCATCGCATTCTTCTCATTCATCAAGCCATGAGGCACCTTGCAATGCCTTGCGATGACGTGTGACTGGCTGCTCATTTTGCTTGTTTTCTTAGTTCGCAGGCCGCCGCTATGCGCGTCAAGCGCTGGGCGAGTGAACTGCTGACCAAGGCTTGCGACTGGTGGAATGCAACAGACCTTTCCACTCAGCTGTGTGTCTTCGTTCTAGCTCCAGATGCAGGGTGGGCAGAACCGTGACGAGCAGCACAACGAGGATAACTGACATGATCAACGGAAGAGGCTTTCTCATTATAGAATCACTGAAGAAGACTTGCTAGGAGCAAAGGTCTTCGCATGCCAAAGAGCTCGAAACGGAGTTTCTTGGGCAAAAAGAGAACAGGTGTAGATTTCATGAGTGCATTTCAGTTATGCTGTATGTGGTGTCAAGGAATGCCCAGCTGAAGCGGCAAGTGCAGCAGCTGCAGCGTGATCTGGAAAATGCCCGGATGAATGTGCAGCTGTTGCAACTCGGCAGGCATTTGATACGCCGTAAGCCAGTTGAGCCTCCCCAAGCTTGCGGCGGAAAGTTGTACCCCATATTTGAACTCTCTTGCACGTCTCACGAAGCATTTGCCGTTGCGAAGTTGATACGATGCAGATAGTTCGGCATGGGTGCCTCGAACTGCCATTGCAGATACTATGGGGGCCTGCTTGTTTGTTGCATGGAGCCGGTGATTGCATGGATGGTGTTAGACCCCAACGCCCTGACTGGAAAGGGAGGCGAAAGCCCAGGGGTCGCCTGTGATTTCTTGTTATCTTTTCGCGAACTGCAAAGCCGTCTTCGCTTTTGGAGCTTGGATCTTGCTAACCTTCACGCACGAACCGCCTGCATGCTCTTGCACGCATGTGTTCTTCGTCGCGTAGCACCGAGGCCTAGAATCCAGAATTCGACCACCCAAGCCCTCCACAACCAACGAGCCCCAAAATGGCAAAACATCCCAGCCAAGGCCAGCTTTCACAGGCTCCTAGCAATTTCAACCTCAAATGCCACAACCCAAAAAGTCGTCGCCACCCCAAATCTCCAAAAATCATGATTGAATTCCTAAACCCTAAACCCCATACTCTGAAGCTCTCGAAACTTGAAACCCAAATCTTCTACAGTCCCTCGGCCCCCAAAATTGGGTCCCTTCCAAAGAAGGGACACTTCGGCCGACGAGCACAGACGAAACATGGCCGCAACAAAAAATACCAACCCCCAGGTGAGAACCTAGATGTGGCGCCAGTGCTCACAGAGCAACAGCGCGCCCGGCATTAGCAACAACAAAAGCCAGGTGACCTGTCTCTGGAAAGGTCACAAGTGACCACAGTGATCCCACTCCCTTTAGGACGCCACGTAGTATAATCATTATATAATCCAGTATGAATGGAGAGGTGTGACGCTGCTTCTCGTTGCTCCGAGGAGAGACTCTCTGGATCTCCAAGCTTCGCTGCTTGGAAAACAAAAAGCGATCCCGCTGGGGCGAGATTTGGGTTTTTCTGAGCTACCTGAGCAGTGCGGTGCTGAGCTGCGGAGCAGTGTTCTTGTTGGCCAAGGAAAGCTTCTCATCCGAAGGATGACCGGCTGAGTGACATGGAGCAGCGCCTAAAACAGGCCTGCTGAGAGAGCTGTTGCGAGGTGAGGTGGTCAAGAACTTTCTTGTGCAGGCGTGTGCGCGCTTCCAAGCTTTTGAGCAGGAACGTCAGAGCCCGGCTCTGAGTTCTCAAATTGGAGCCGTGAGCCAGTCTGAGTTTGTCGTGAAGTGATCCAGAGGCTGGGAGCAGGAGCGACAAGCTCTGAAGAGACGGATCGAAGGGCAGGTTGAAAAGTCGGACTCTTTGTTACGACCTGCATGTGTTGACGGTAGCAGGACCCTGATGCAGATGCCGATCCCACATGGAGCTGTTTCTACTCAAGGCTAAGTTCAAGTACTGTTGCTGGGCTCACCAGAAGGCCTCAGCTACGATCACGACTGACACAGACATTCAAGATCATTCAAGCTTGAACTCATCGAACCGAACTTGCTTGTCAGCTGAGTGAGGCAAAAAGAAGAAGCATACGTTAAGAACACTTCTACATACAATTCTGCGGCGGATGGATCAGGAGGCTGCTGCAAGTCTTCCCATGAGCACAGTCCTCAGGCAGCCCACCATTGGCATCCGTGCTTGAGACAAGGGTCTTATGTCGATGAGGTGGTGCGCGCAGCCCTGCTCTTCTCGCAAGCACCTCCATTTTGGGCCTGGCAATCATTCTTCTTTTCTATTTCCTGAGACGAAAGCGGCCCAAGCCGGCAGAGATCCCAGCAGTGCCTTAGCAGTGATAAAATTGGTCAGGTAAGCCACTAGAATGTGTGCAGCCAAAAGCCCCGAGACCCGTGATAAACTCTGCTTGAGGATGGCGTGTTCGACTTGCAGTCGTTGGGCAGGTTCAACGGCGTGACAGGACCCATTTTCATGGGCGTGTGCGGCAAAGTTGAAACCTGGCAGCAAGCAGGAGGAGAAGAGGTGCTTTGATTGCCCTGTGGCTTTTTGCCCAGGATGTTTTGGAATCTTTAGAGCCAAGGTGAACGTCTCCAGCAGTGAGAACATCACTGCTGCTTGATAAGAGGAGTGCAACTAATTATGTAGAAGGCTTTTCCGATGCCTTTTTGTAAGGTTGGTGAAGGCTATGGAAGATTATGGGCCGGCAAGGATGCCACCTTCGCCTTGGCTACGCTCTCCCTGAAGCCAGAAGACGTACCTCAGCTGAGTCCAGCTTTGGGGCATTGTGAGAGCAGTGAAATCCTGGCAGGCGAATGTGCTTGACTTCACCTTGGCTCAGTTCACTGAAGACCAGCGCAAAGCTTTAGCTGGCTGGTACAAGCACTTCACTGTAAGATATCCTGTCGTTGGCCGTCTGCGCGAGTACGTAGCTTGGCCAACGCCTTCTGTTGTGGTAGAATGTACGTTGACCGGTTGGGACAAGTTGAGATTGCTGAACACAAGTACTAGCTACGTTGTCTTGTAGATGAGGCTGTCTCAAGCTGAGAAAGATGTCATTGGATTCAGATTGATAAGGATGGTTGGGATTTCGCAGAAATCGAAAAGCAGGCAAGGGAGCTCAGCTTTTACTTTGGCTGTTGCCACCCAAGCATGATCCTTCATCGTGTTTCTGTCAGGCCGAGAAGGAGACACCGTTTGGTCTGGGAAAGGAGGAGAAAGCTGCTGCAGTCAGCGGTGCCGATGAACCGGTGTTGCTTAGACCTGGCGAGAAGGCAGGAACCTCAGCTCCCTAAAGATTGTAAAGCCTGTCAAGCCGGATGGTGATCAAGGCTGAGCCTGTCGCACATTAAGGTGAAGCTGCAGGGCTTGGCGGATGACAAGCTAGATGGCCAAATTGGCGTGCTCAGAAAGCTGGATGCTGCCACAGGGAAATTCGAGGTGGTTCTGGTGGACGAGGCCTGTAAGTGCAAGATGCCTGAGCGCAAGGTTCTGACTGTCTCTTGGCAGCCCAGGACTCATCTGTGTTGGTCAAGCCCAGCCAGATCGCCAAAGTGTGATTTTCGCAGCAGGGCTGTTCCTGTTGGGCATCACGCTGCTACATGAGAAAGCGTTCCCAATGCTGCCCTGCAAAAGCGCGCTACACCTTCACACGAGCTTCTATCCTGTAATATTTGTAATTGGAAATATCATACTGAGCAGGGAATTTAGAATACTAAGGCTGGACCCACGGTTCCTTGCAGCAATTTCGCATAACCGCATCAGCTTTACTTTGCGCGTCTTCCTTGAGATGTGCAATGCTGGCTGGCCTTTCATCAAGGTAAGGCTGCGAGTTTGTGCATCTTTGTGCAATGTCGCTGGCATGGACAATAAATGCCATAGAAGCCGCCACTCTGGCAGTTCTGCTCTTACTTGCCTGCTGCTCCCGTCGACTGACGTGCATCTTGTGTCTTCTTGGGGCGATTTTGCTGGGTGGCTTTGAAGCTCTGAGGGGATCGAACCTGCACTTGAGCCAGCTTACTTATGATTCAACCAAAGTTGTTGGCCGCTCTTCCATGCGAGCGGCCGTGTACACAGTTGGAGAAGATTTGGGTTGGCGGATGGCGGACATCCCGATTCCACATCACTCCTCGTTTTCTGCCCTGATCCAGGTGAAGGCTGTTGCGCTCAACCCTTCAAACTTCAAGCATCCGATGATTACGGCTACTTGGCCTTTCGTGAGGCATTTACGAGAAGACTGGCCTGTTGGCTACGATGTGTCTGGTGTGGTTTTGTCGGTTGGAGCGTCGAGCGGCTGCAGCGTGCAAGTAGGCGACAAGGTTTGGGGAATATCTATTGGCGTGGCAGGTGAGTTCGCCGTGCTGCCCTGCTTTCTGACTGTGCCCATTCCTGGAAAGCTCAGCTTCGAGGAAGCTGCAGGTCTGGGAGTAGCTGGGCTCACCACCCTCATGGGCTACGAGCGAGCAGGACTTGGCCCCGATCAGCACGTGCTTGTAGTGGGAGCATCAGGTGGCTGTGGCCAGTTCGGAGTCATGTTGGCAGGTGCCATGGGCGCCAGGGTCAGCGGAATCTGCGGGGCGCACAATGTGGACTTCGTCAAGCAGTTGCACACGGGCGTGGATGCCGTGGTCGATTACAAGCACCCTTTCCAGATGGCCAGCCTGATTTCCAAAGGTAAGCATTTTGATGTAATATATGACACAGTCACCAGCAGTGCTCCAGAAGATCCCAACTATGAGCCCATCTTGGGACAACTGCGCAAAACCAATGGAACTTACCTAGCCATTGGACCATGTCCCAAACCAATGGACCAATTTCGCGCCTTCTTGGACGGCTTTACGCGGCCTTTCGGACTTAATCTGCAACGGGAAGGTTATGACTGGTTTTTTCTATTGCCAACCAAGAGCAGAATGCTGAAGTTAAACAGCTTCTTTGATTCAGGCAAACTGACAGCAGTGCCTGTTGACTCCAAGTACGATGCCCTGGCTTCTGATGATGCGATAGTGCAGGCAATGGACAGGCAAAAAAGCAGGAGGGCTGTGGGCAAGATTCTGCTCACATTTGGAAGTTGAATTCCTGCCGCGCAACTGCGGATCGGGCCCATGACATCATGGCGGCACTCGTAGGGACGAAAAGCAGGGAACGTAGCCTGGCGAAAAGGCCATCCAGCGCACCGTCTTCAGCCTGCCAGCCTTCGAAGGTGGAGTCGAAAAAAAGGTTGCACAGGCCTGCGAGAGGTAAGTAGGCTTCGCCCCCAGATTTGCCATAGCCCGTCAGCCCGTCCTCAATAAGCTCTCAATTCCCAAACGAAGGAGAGGTAATTAGCCAGCTAGGTTGAAAGGTGGATCCATTGATTACTTTAAGCATTTGTTGACCTGCTGCGGAAACTGGTGGCAAAATCCTGAACGAAAAGCCCTGGGCCCACGAATTCCACACAAGAGGCAGCATGGTCAGAGCGACAAGCTTCTGGATATCTTACTGTGGTCTGCGACAGCTGTAGGCAGCAACAAATCTGGAACAGGGCAGCGGTCCATCGTCACAGGTCCAAAGCGTTTGTTTGCCAGGGTGTGGTGATAATTTGACGAGGCCCCCACCCAACTAATGTACAATGACCCTGCCCATATGCAGGTGGGGATAATTACATATTCT